TTATGTAAATTCTTTTCTTTAGTTTCAAGTTTGATTAGTTTCCAAGTTTCAATTATGGTTCATGTTCTTATTCATTATGCTTATAAGTTAACATGCTTGTTTGAATGATTGATCACCATTAGAACTTGTTTGTTAACTATCTTGGTTTGAATTAAGAGTATACACCATGCTTTAATTCGAATTGAACTATGAATAGGAATAGTATGTATGGACATTCGACAACAGGGATTAGATACATGCTTGGTTGTTTAAATTATTCTTCTATGCTTAATGGGTTCATAATGCTTAATTTAGGTTAGACAACATATGATCAAATTAGGAAATTAGGAATACAAGGTTAGAACCAGACACCATGGCCTAATCATACTTTAGCTAGAACCAATCTTTGAATATGAATTAGACTTGTTACTTGACTCCTTATAACCCAGAATTGAATTGTTATGGTGATTCGAATGCCCTAGTCTCCAAATCTATTTTCCATCTCTTAAAACCACTCTTTGTTACATTTGTTTACTTGTTTTTGTTTGCAATTTCATTTTGCTTATTTTGTTCAACAATCACAACCACTCTTGCTTTAAATTCTGTTTTAGACAACCTCCTACTTTCTTGAATTTGGTAATCTAAGTACATAACTAGTTTTAACTTCTCAGTCTTCGTGGGTACGACCTCGTACTTGTCTTGCTATACTACTAATTGCCCCGTACAATTGCGAGTTAACATAATATTAACAACAGCTGCTTACATCACATCCCTTCACCATGGTTGGAATATGTGTACCATCAATAGCTCCAATACAATCCTGAAATGAATTAATAAGAAATTGAAAGTAAAACATAGTCTTTGTTGGAATAATAACAATAATACTTATAATAATAAATTTCATCACCTTAAAGTAGGGGTAAAATCGTGTACTTTCTCTTATCTTAGCTGGCACTTCAGATCGAGGTTTAGCCAACATCTCTGGTGCTAGTGTGTTCAATGCCTTCAAGACTCTGTTGAAGTTTTTGCTAGTAGCAAAATGTGATCGATCCATAATTTTTAGTAATAATTGTCCGATGGGTATTAAGCGAAGCATGGAGGACATACTGCAAATCAAGCAAAAAGGGGAATTTGGGAAGTATCTAGGGATAACTGCAGATTTTGGTGCATCCAAGAAAAAAGTTTTTGAAGATGTGCGCAACAAGGTTTCCACACGATTGACGGGTTGGGTTGAACAATATCTTTTTATGGCGAGGAAGGAAGTTTTACTCAAAGTCGTGGCCATGGCATTGCCAAACCATGCTATGTCTTGCTTTAAGTTGCCAATTGGGTTCTGTAAAGAACTTGAACGAGAATGTGAAAATTACAGGTGGAAAGGAAACGCAGACAGAAAAGGGATTCATTGGGTTTCCTGGACAACAATGAAGAGGCTTAAGAAACATGGAGGCTTGAGGTTTCACGATCTCATTTATTTCAATCTAGCTATGCTTGCTAAGCTTCGTTGGCGGATTCTAACAAACCTAGATTCTCTACTTGTGCGTCTATTACAGGAGAAGTATTTTCAGGGGAAGGGATTTATGGAGGTAGGATATATTCGTGGTTCTTCGTGGGGATGGAAAGGGATTTTGCAAGGAAAAAGAATTTTGGAGGCAGGAATGCGGTGGCAAATAGGAAACGGCGAGCATGTGAGAATTAAGGAGGACCCCTGGTTGCTGACGCCGTACACTTTTAAAATACAATCTAAGCACCCTGATATGCCATCAATGGTGAAGGAGTTGATCGATCCAGTTGCTAAAAGATGGCTTAAGGAGGACATTGCCCATCTTTTTTATCATGTCGAAGCTAAAATAATTACTAGTCTTCCTTTGAGTCGATAGGGTTGCCCTGATAAGCACATCTGGCACCATACCAGCCATGGCGATTATACTATCCGTTCAGGATATCATGTTGCACAGTTTTTGCATCGAAGAGGAGAGTTAGGCAGTAAAGGGATAAGGGAATCGAGCAACACGGAGGCTCACACAGCTCTGTGGAAGAGCATCTGGCATTTGAATGTGTCCCCAAAAATTCGATCCTTCGTTTGGCGAGTTTGTAAAGGTGCGGTGGCCGTTCGACAAAATTTACGCCAGAAGCATATTAATATTGATGATACTTGTGGTGTTTGTGGTAGTGAGGGGGAATCAATTTTGCACTTATTCTTTAAGTGTGAATTTGCACGTGCTTTTTGGTTTGCTAGTTCACTCCAACTGGATACGAGAAAGCTTAGGAGTGCCACTTTTGATGGTTGTTGGACAGAGTTAATGCATATATATGGGTAAGATGAGCATGCAGATGTGGTGTTGCAATGGATAGCTTATGGACTTTGGCGAATATGGAAAAGTCGTAATGTCTTTGAAGGTAAGAAGGTGTGCCCAACTGAAGCTGTGCAACTTTGGCAGGCACAAGTCCAGGAATTTCAAGAATCGCAACACAAGTCGTTGCCGCTGGACCAGGGACAAACGGTATCACTATCTTGGCAGGCACAAGCCCAGACCACTAGACCAGGGACAAACGGTATCACTATCTTGGCAAAAACCGAAACCTAGCTGGATTAAAATTAATTGCGATGGTGCCTGGCAGCAGCAAACCTTGCGGGGTGGAGTTAGGTGGGTGGTGCAATCACATTTCGGCTTTCTTCTCATGGTGGGCGGTACTAGGAACATGTTATGTCAGTCAGCTCTCATGATGGAAGCTGAAGCCATTTGTGATGCTCTGATGGCAGTAATGGATGTAGGGGTTGACAAAGTTGAGGTAGAAACTGTTGGCGTGACTTGTGGACTGTTGACTTACTTTCCATACACACCAAAAATTCCTATTATAATTGTAATTGATTTACTTTAATTCCTGATTTCCTACTGTAAATAGATTTAGGAATTTATTATTTACTTGCCCATTCAGGTTTCGTTGTATTATAAATATGACCTCATACAAGGAGAAGAATACACAGAAAATTCCTACAAACAAATATTCTCATATTAGGTTTCATATTTTAGCATGGTATCAGAGCGGCGATCTTGGAATTGCTTACTCTAGTTTCAAACCCCCGCTACTGCTATGGGGGTTGATGATTTTTTCAACCCCCATGGAGGTAGCACCACCAACTCATTCTCTCCTTCTCACCCAACCATAGCCGAGTTGAGTGCCCAAGTGGCTCAGCTCCTACAGATGCAACTTTTGATCCCGAGCCCGATCCTAAATAAGGATCCTATTTTGACGACCCCAACCCCGACTACGACGACGACTCCAACCATGACTCCGATAATGACCTCGACCCTGACTCCGATGATGACCCCGACCCCGAATTTGTCTATGATTCAGACCCAGATCCCCACTTCAACTCCGACTCCGGCCCCGACTCAGGCTCAGATCCCGATACGAATTCCTCCTGTATCCTATGCATCTTCCGCTGCACAAATTATGACTTTCCGACTGACGACCCCGACACATGGACGAGATTGCTCATATTGTGGTGATTCAAGACACACTCATGAGACTTGTTTTAAATTGCATGGCTACCCCGAATGTTGGGCTACTCTCAAAGACTGAACACAACGCGATACGACTAGTAAAGGTATTGGTTATGGATTCCATACTTCGGATAAGATTGATTCTAGTAGTTGGATAATTGATTCCGGTGCCACTGATCATATGACGTTTAATCCTGATGATTTTCTGCATACTACACAACCCCGACGAACTTGTATTGCTAACGCCAATGAAGTTACTTATCCTGTGATAGGGGTTGGCACTGTTGCACTCTCATCCTCTCTTTCACTGTCTAATACTTTACTTGTTCCATCTTTGTCTAATTAATTGATGTCTGTTAGTCAGCTTACTGAACAATTGAATTGTTGTGTACTAATTTATCCGAGTTTTTGTTTGCTTCAGGATATTCACACTAAGGAGATTCTTGGTCGTGGTACTCAGAGAGGGGGGTTATATTATGTAGATGACTTCAGTCCCAGCATGACTAATAGTGTGACGCATCCCTCTGATAGCAAACAAAAGCAAATCTGGTTGTGGCACCGTCGATTGGGACATCCGTCTTTTAGTTATATGAAGCATCTTATACCAGATTTATTTTCCAGTTTCAAGGACTCTAACTTCACATATGATACTTGTATTTTAGCCAAGAGTCACCGTGTGCCCTATCCGTTGAGTACAACCAAGTGTACTACTCCGTTTACGTTAATTCACTCTGATGTCTGGGGACCTTCACCTATCACTGCTCATTCTGGCGTTCAGTGATTTGTCACATTCGTAGATGATTATACGCGGATGACATGGCTTTATTTGCTGAAGAATAAAAATGAAATGTTTGCCCGTTTTCAGTTCTTCCACAAACAGATTCTTCACTCAGACAATGGTGGAGAATTTGTCAATCATGACTTTCAGACTTACTTCCAACAACATGGAATTATCCATGAGACGACTTGTCCTCAGACACCATAACAAAATGGTGTTGCTGAACGAAAGAATCGACATCTTCTTGAAACCACCCGAGCACTTTTGATTGGCACTCATGTTCCTCGCCATCACTGGGATGATGCTATAGTCACCGCAGTTCACCTGATCAACCGCATGCCTTCTAGTGTATTGACCTTTAAAACTCCCTTACAAGTGCTTGCCCAACACGGGCCCCTACCCTTTGTTTTGGTACTCACACCCCGAATCTTTGGATGTGTGGCTTTCGTTCATCTCCACAAAAATCAACGCAGCAAACTTGATCCATGTGCGCTTCGTTGTGTTTTTGTGGGTTATGCCACTCATCAGAAAGGCTACTGCTGTTATCACCCTGCTACCCGACATACCTATGTCACTTGGGATGTGACCTTTTTGGAATCTGAGCTGTTCTTCCATGACCCATCATCCAATTCTACACTTCAGGGAGAGATACAAAGTGAAGAGCAGAATTGGAGCAACTTGGAAAACAAAGAAATTCTCATATGTACAGAAATGATCAATCGGCCCGAGTTTGGAGCACGAGATTACTCTCTGTTAAAAAGCGATCAATTGCCCATTTATAGCGATCAATCACCTGATCCACCTGATCCCTGCGAAGATGTTTCTGATCCGAGTCCTACACCTACAGACAATACAGAACAACAAGATGAAGACCCCCCCCCTAAGGCCTAGTTTGGGATTGCTGTCACTTTTAAAAAAAGTTGCTTCTGCTGTGCTTTGAAAATAATTAGCTGTAAAGTAAAGCAACTCC